CTCACCTCAGCCTCCCAAAGGCGCAGGATTACAGGCTGAGCCACCGAGCCTGGCTTAGAAGTCATTTTTATAGTAAGTTAAAATCATGGTTTATGAATAGCTGATCACAAAGCTGTTTTAGGTTATCTTTGAGCCAGAAATTTGGCCCAGGTCTTGATTATGCCTACTACTTTATACTGTTCATTATGTTTATACTTGGAATTGGCAAGTAAAATCACCAGATCCAAGGGAAGAGTGGTCCTATAAAATGACCAAGGCTATCTGAAGACTAGCTAGCTTACTGGTTGATTTGGTGTATTCATCTTGATTACAAATTTTTAAAACTTTTTAGCATATTTATTGGAGATGTTTATAATGTTGTTAAAGAAAGGATCTGTCAAATGCAGTCTGTTCCGTTATCTAACTACTATCAGCAAACTCTCCTGTTGACTTTCTGTAATTATAACAGTGTTTGGATATATGGATTACCCTCAGTTTATTTTTATTTTTTATGTTTTTGAGTTGGAGTCTCATACTCACGGCCACTGCAGCCTTGACCTCCAGGGCTCAGGTGATCGATCCTTCAGCCTCAGCTTCCTGCATAGCTGGTACTACAGGCATGTGCCACCACTCCTGGCTAATTTTTCTTAATTTTTTTTTTTTTTTTGAGTTAGAGTCTCACTCCGTGGCCCAGGCCGCATGTGCCACCACACCTGGCAAATTTTTTTGATTTATTGTAGAGACAAGGTCTCGTCTTGTTATTCAAGGTAGTCTCGAACTCCTGAGCTCAGGTAATCCTCTCGCCTCCACCTCCCACAGTGTTGGGATTACAGGCGTGAGCCACCATGCCCTGCCAAGGAATCTCCACATTTTCATGATATAGGTAAGGTTTACACTTAAAAAAAAATTGAGTGGGGTCTCTGTCGCCCAGCCTAAGGTGCAGTGGCATATTCATGTTCACCCCAACCTTGACCTCCTGGGTTCAGGTGATCCTCCTGCCTCAGTCTCCCAAGTAGCTGGGAATACAGGCATGCACCACCATGCCCAATTAATTTTTTTGACTATGTAGAGACAAAGTCTCGTGTTGCCTAGGCTGGTCTCAAACTATGGGGCTCAAATGATCCTCCTGCTTTGGCCTTTCAGAGTGCTGGAATTGCAGGCATGAGCCACCGTGCTCAGCCTGATAAAATTTATGTTTAAGCAAGCATTTGATTTTTTTTTTTTTTTTTGAGTTGGAGTCTCACTCTGTCGCCCGGACTGGAGTGCAGTGGCTGCTCCCGGCCACCGCA